CAGCATCAGAACACTGCTGACAGGCACTGATTTCCCATCCAGAAATGCCAGGATGCTTAGTTCTCTCTCTTTGATTCTACAAAGTCTCTATATTCTGGTCTTAAACGAAAGTGCTGTGTCAAACTTCTACAGCTCACCCTTTTCATTCTTGGGAACCTGAGAACAGGCAACTGGGAGTGGTTGCTGTCACTGCAGCACCAAACTGGCATTCATCTTGGTACAAACTACATTTCACAACACACCAACAGTTTGCATCAAGTGCTCCAAACTCGTAACATGTGCCAGGAATCTGAGAAACAAACTCTGGCCAGTATATTTGACTTTTGCTCCTATATTCCCATTTAATGGACAGAGAAATACATGCATTTGAAGTGATTTTATGTACACATGGATGACTTGCAAGGGAAAGTTGACCTCTGGTTCTTCTAAGGGGAAATACTGAACATTTTGAGAAGATGTTACAAATTTGCCTTTGACTATATTTTTTATATTTTTGGAAGGTATATTTAAAATATGTTATATCAATATGAAAAGTTGTATTGTATTGTATCCATTGTGTTTTCACCCATCCTCTTTTTTTATCAGAAGAGTACAGGTAGCATTTAACTTTCTTGATGCTCTCTTTTCATATATTCAGTCTAACTGTGAATCTGGAGAGGTCCCAGTCAACTGGCAAACATTGCCCCAGTTTTCAAGAAAGGCAAGAAGGATGACCATGCTAACTACAGGCTGTCAGTCTCACTTCAGTGCCTGGTAAAATTATGAAGGTTATTCTGGGAGCTAGTGAAAAACACATGAAAAACAACACAATCATCGGTCCCAGCCAAAATAGGTTTACAAGGGAAAAGTCCTGCTTAACAAACTTAATTTCCTTCCATGACAAGGGATTAGGTTGATCAAGGAAAGCCAGCTGATGCAAATTTTTCGATTTCGGTAAAGCTTTTGATACTGTCTCTTACATTATCCTTCTGAACAAAATGCCCAGCACACCTCTGGATAAACACCTTGTGTGGTGGGGGAGCAACTGACATGTGAGTCGAGCACAAAGACTTCTAGAGAATGGGGTAACATCAGACTGGCATCCAGTCACTAATGGGGTTCTGAAGGCCTCTATCTTATGGACAGTTCTCTTCAGTGTCTTCACAGACGACTCCAAGATACACTAAGGAAGTTTACCAATGATACTAAAGTGGGAGGAGCTGTTGACTCCCTTGAAGGCAGAAGGGCCCTGCAGGTAGACCTCGAGAAATCAGAGACTGGGCAATTGCCAGCAGTAGGAAGTTTAACAAGAGCAAGTGCCGGATTCTGCACCTGGGATGGAGACAAAGGAGAGGAAAGAGGTCCGGGGTTCCTGGTCGATGGCAAGTTGAATATGAGTCAGCAGTGTCCTGGCAGCCAGGAGGGCCAATCGTGTCCTGAGGGGCATCAAGCAAAGCATTGCCAGGCAGTTGAGAAAGGTGAACTTCCTACCAACACAAGTAAATAAAACCCAACAATATACAACTTCTTGTTCACACTGAAAATATTCCTCTGTTCCGATATTAATTCCACTTTTCCATACTATGAATGTGTCTGTTCTTCTGTAGATAGACTAATTGGGAAAAGAGAACACCAGTAGCCTACCAGAAACAGTACATGGATTTACTAGTAAAAAATCTCTATCCTGCATCTTTCTGCAAATGGTTCTACATTTGGAAAGGAAAGGAAAACATTAAGCTTTTGGCACACATAATTAAGATAACTACTTCCACAGGAACTGTCTGGTTGGGATACAAGAGACTCACACTCACAGACTTTCAAGCACGACTAACTCCAAAACACGAGTTAGTCAAGGACTTTGACTAATTTGTTGAGAGAAATGTGATCTGATAAACATGCTGTTTTTTCCTGAAGACTGAGAACGTAAAATGTTTTCTGATCGAAATATTACTGCAGGAAGCAAACATAAGTTATAATCGCACTCCACTAGGAAACAATATCAGAATCACACACATACAGGACTCTGCCAAACAGCTGAGACTTCAATCCTCCATGTTCACAACTAAAAGAATTCAGTCTACAATTGGTACTAGGGGAGAACAACAGGAACAAGGTAAGAGCACATCAAGGACAGGGCAGCATAGCAGAATACACTCCAGGAAAGTTTTCCTGATTTCCTCCACACCCCCTCAGGTCACACAGTTTGTCCTGCCAAAATACAAAGGGTTTAAAATGAAGACATGAAAATAACAGCCCCTAAATGTGTTCTCCTCTAGAATTCAAAGATAAAAAACTGCCATGCAAAGCTCAGTGGGGTAGAAAACTGCACACTGACGATTTTACCAAGTGAAAACCAAGTTCACATAGTCCTTCCTTTCTACCTTAGTACTAAAGCACGCCTTTAATTTATATGTACTCATAAAACCTTTCAACCTTTCAGCAGTTGCACAGTACAACCCGTACAAGATTAATTCAAATTCAGCTATTAATTTCTTTGTAGCACCAAAAGTAAAGTTTGCATCTTTAAACTACACTATCCTCTCTTGCAACATCATAGAAAATAGAAAGCACTAACTGCATTTACCAATTAAAAAAAAAAAACCAAAAAACAAGTATAAAGAAGATTTCGGTGGAGAAAAAAGTGCCATAATAAGAGCAATATGACTAATAACTCGTAATCCTTACCACAACATAACCTGAATCCTTCAAGAATCCTTGCTAATCGCAGCAGTAATGTGAGAATACTAAACTTGCAGGGGCAAGTACTTAACCTGGCATGTGGCAAATAGAAGCCAACTTCTCTCAGTCCTCCAGAAATGGAAGAGGTGACCCCTCTACTACTTAATGCTTTTACACAGAATCACCATTATTCTGTATCTCTCCAGCACCCACAAACTAGAAATACAAGCTGAAAATCAGGTCTGAGACATGGTTTTATACGTCTCAGGATTTTGCCCACAGCATCCCAAATTGTTCTTGACCATTAGATGTTATTAAAACCACATACTATAAGGCCACTGGGATTTCATGAGAGGACTTCCTTGGTATACTCTGAAAACAGAGGGAAACATAACTTTATGATGACTGCAAAGATATGAAGTTTCAAGCAAACAATGACAATATTCCTCTGTTAGTGCCTTGCAACTACTAGAAGAAACTAGCAGTCTCACCAGTGATGTGCTACTACAATAATAAAGTCAAAACTGGAACTAAGGGGGCAACTCTACAGAATAACTAACAGAATTAGGTGTGTATTCAAACTTACTGGTACAGGCCAGTTTGAACAAGTCTGCATTCAGAGTAGCACTAGTGCAGACACAGCAGTATGTTTACACAGCAAGGCTGTGTTCTTCCTCTTTCTTGGTCAGTTACATTCGATTTAGTGGGATCATTTGGCAGAAATGTTTGATTAAAGCTGAGGGAGGATTTTTTCAGTATAGCCAGCATCCTTCACATCCTTTTTGTTTCTTATCTTTTGATCCTTTTCATTAGAAAGACTAAATTAATACAACAGAGCTTAAGAAAAAATTACTTCAGCTCATCTTTTACCTACTGAGTACCATTTAACTCAAAGGTCGACTTACAAATGTGTACACAGTCATTTCTTTTGTGTGTGATGCTATCACCAAGCATGATGAAGCTGAGAAACTTCAAAGCCAAGAGAGGTACAAGTAGGTTCTAGAGGACTGCTTAGTCAAGAATTTTTGTTTCTCCCCTCACTTTTCTCTTCCCCATCTGACCTTGCTGCTATGCAAGTATTTGGTCTAAACAGCTGTGAGGCTACCGAACAAAGTCATAGTTAGAACATTTAATAAGGTGTTCCTACCATACCCACCTAAAAAAGGGACCCCCAACTCTAAGTAATGCATTTCTTTATATACATTCCTCCCAAGGGTTAAGCATACAGCAGCTTGTAAATTAATTATAATAAAAAGGCTTCAATCTCATTGTCTAAGCAGCCCAGTAATGCTTAAAAGGAGCTACAAGAAAGAGGTCACTCTTGAAAATGAGACATAAGTACCTATAACATTTTCTGTGGCTATTTACAAAGGGAGGAGCAAGAAGACCTGACAATAACCACAGTGAAAAATACAAGGGGTATGAAAGATTGCAGTTGCACCTCAGCTCACTCTGATGTGTAGCATTTATGCCTCCTTACAGCACAAATTTGGGAAAATTTATGAAGCCAAGGGTGCAATATTAAATAAATGTAGTACAAAGTAATGCCTACAGCTAGCACTGAAATACATGTAAATTATAGTCCATTAATACAAATCACAATCTAGATTTATTAAATGCATTTCATATTACAATATACAGGCAAAACACAGGATATACAAAAACTCCTCATGTATGAAAGTCTAGATACTGAATAAACTCTTAAAATTCATACATCTCTTGAGGGCAGTTGGCAGACTTGTAGGAGGGATTAATAAGCACGGAAAGAACTTGCAAACTTAAGAGCCTGAGGTCATTTTTGGAGAGAGGACAGGAGGAAATTACCTATTAGTGTATTTTTTCAAAATTATTCATGTAAGTGTTTTTATGAAGCACTAGTTTAAAGGGCAAGATACTATGGGCTTGAGATAAGGGAGTAACTTCTACCCTGCAATAACCACTTGTGTTCAGAATCTTACGCCACAGCAACAGAGTGGCTGGTCATTTTTATTGAGAGAAACTTATTTGCTTTAACTATGGTATAAAAAACGTACAGAGAACCAGCTACCATGGGACCACTGGCACACCATACCAAAACAAGGTTTTTGCATGTCCACACACCCTCATGTTTTAAAACTCTTTATGCATTCATGCAGAAAATTCTAAACTAGGACAAACACAAGTAATTCATGTTGCAAGGTAGGAGCCTGGCTATCATTTTATCACTCAGTTTCCAAAATTTTCTTCACGTTACAGAAATCTTCATGCACAAAATACTTTCCTTTGTTTGCAGTAGCCCACTGGATTTCAAATATGGATTTTAACAAAGTAGTCTGTAAAAGTCAGTAACTCCTGTCACTTACTTGGCTTAGAGTTGATGATGATGTTTTCAGCAGAGTGCTGGGGTGGAAACCTGCAGTTCTCTCCTTGGCTCTCACTGCTGCCGTACTCTATGACTTCCACTTGTCCCAGTGGTACACTCCACTTCAGTAAATACCTCTGGTCAGTTGTCATGGTGCCACTGCTTTCATAGGAAGAGCTGGAAGATGCACAAATTATTGCTGTGACAAGCAATTGTGTTTCACGGTATCCCATTTAATATTTTAGCTTCTAAAATCTGCTGTTTGTCAGCTTGAGTACAGTGCACAACTTGAAAGAAATACATGTATCAGACTGACTTTTGTGACATACCTTCTCTGGGGTGCAAAGTGCAGCTATGCAGCTGCAAATAATCTTGTTACAAACACTGTAGGATCACCAAGAGCAGTGCCTACATTTCTATAGCATGTATACATTTGTATAAATGACCATCTTTTAAGATCAGTATGCACTTTGACATCCTAACACAAGTGTTTGGGATTACACTTTGGCTCTGTATTTTCCTAACTCTTTTGAAACAGTGCTCAAAAGAAGTAACTGTTATATTTAGGGAAGTATGGACGATGAGACCTTTGACTGACCACTGGCAACAGGAAGGACAACGTAACCTCCCAAGGGCTGAAAGGCTAAGATTTTTGCCAAGCCACGCAGCCCAGAATGTTCTGTGCAGGAGACCTCTGCAACTGCTGTGGCTTCCAGGAGTAATCCCACATGAGCTGCTGCTAAAGGAAGTGTGTATCAACACACATCTCAGAGGAAAGAGCACACTGAGGAAGCTCACTAGGAAGAGAAATTACATTAATACTAATTTTACTTTGTTTGCCTCATTCCCTTATGCACATTCAAGTACAGCTAACAAGTATTTATTATAAAGGACAAAAGACATGTTAAAGTGAACAAAAAACATTTATTTCACAGAAAGCACGACTAAAATACAGAAGTTAAATGCTTGGGAGAAATCAGAAAAATGCATTTATGGAGAACAGTTTCTAAATGCTGATGTTCAGCTAGTCACCTACCTATTCACAACACAGTCATACTTTTGTTTCCATGAAGATGCAAGTATGAACAAAAAAAAAACCAAGTGCCACAGCTTAAATAAATATTTATATTCTTGATCTAGCTTAGAAGAAAAAACAAAACTAGGCAGCACACAGTTGTTCAGTCACTAGGGATATCATCCACCCCGTCCAACTGCTGCTACTTCAAAGACAGGTCTCCAGCTCAAACCAGTCATCTGGACTACATGTGAAGAAAGACCTTTCAAGGGTCACGTCCTCTGTAAAAATATGTATCTTTTGCAAGCCATAAAAAATTAATTTGGAACTAATGGTCCCCAGGCTCCTGGGATGTCTGAATGTTCCTGTAAAGGTTGGACAAAAGGGGTTTGAGAAAAATGAGCTGATAGATACTGCACAGCCATGTGTACGTGTAAATCTTTTGAAGTAGTCTACATCTCCAGGGTGAATCTGAGGACATGCACGTTGATAACCACTGCTGTAACAGAAGTCTAGCTTAGGTAAGATGAGTAACACCTATGCAGTTAAAATGAAGAGAAATAAAGCTCATCCCCAGTGAACTCAACAGGCAAGTGGTATTCTACAGCATATTCTTGTTTTGAACAAAAACTTCTGGACTGTACAGGTGTCATCATATGTGAAGTCTGGCAGACAATTTTCTTCAGTCCCTATCTTGCATGCAAAGGTAGTTCCTTCTGCAGAAAAAAACTAAGAGCACTCCATGAAAACATGGAGGAATTTTAAATCCACACACACAGTTTGCAGGTGGACCAACCCTCAGCTGAACCCCAAGGAAGTCACAAAACTTTTCCTCTGCTAGTGAATAAAGCTAGAATTGTATTCAACTATTCTAAAAAGCAACTGTTATTTAAATAACAGGTTGGAAAGCAAACTTTAGCTGCTACAGGAAGCCCTAATTAAATTTTTTCAGCATTGGAATGGCCTGCCCAGATTCACCGTCCCTGGAGGTTTTTAAGACGAGGCTGGATGTGGCACTGAGTGACATGATGTAGTAATCACAGTGGGGTTGGATCAAGGGTTGGACTTGATGATCTCGGAGGTCTCTTCCAACCCAGTTAATTCTATGATTCTACGAAAGCTAGTTATCCATTTATTATGACTACTCCTACAAGTCATTAGCCATAGTAAAATTTCATTAAGTGTCTATTTCAAACTGAAGCTTGAAGGATCATCTAAAAAATATGAGTCAAGTCTTACCGAATATTTACTGTCGCACACATCAGCACATCATTTAACATGAAAAGACGTCGCTCTTTGGTTTTGATAATTTCTCCTTTGTCATTGTAAACCGTCTCAACCATATCATCAGTCCGTATGAGGTATCTGTTTCCACTGCTGAGTAGCTAGATTTTGAAAACAATCAGCATTGTATATTATACATGGTACATCCAACATTCATTGCAAAAAGCAAAAGAAAATACAACAGGTTATCACTTGCCATTCTAGCACAAGTGATCACAGGGGGATTTGCTAAGGGAATTAAGCCTTTTCTTTAACTTGCTTTTCATGTAGAGAAACAGTAACTTCTGCTGCCACCAATATGGCCTGCAGGGGTTTTGGGTCTTAATGCAAATAATAATTGCTCTGGGAATCTTCTACAGTGGTAAAGCCTCCCTGGTGAAAAAAATGATAGCTTCCACAATTTCTGTGGTTTCCTTCCCTTGTCCTTTCTTTCACAGCCCAGTGAAGTGCAACACATGGTTCCAGCTGCCAAAGCGGGAGGCCAGGGTGGGAGGAGGAAGGTGCTCAGCCTGCTGTCCCCCCAGGCTCACAGAGCTAACTGAGGAGAGCTGTTGGCAAGGTGTCACAGACTGCAGACAAGATGGCATGTCCAAGAGATACATGGCATTTAAGTTGTTCCTGACATTTGCCTTCGGGGGCTGAGGATCAGCAAGCAAGAACTAATGCCTTACAGGTCAAACACACCTCCGTAGTGTCCAAGAGAATAAAATGGTCCACAACTCACTTCCTATCCATCCACCACCTCCATCACCTATTTCACCCTGCCTGGCAATGTTCCAAAACAGTATAGGCAAACATTAACCCACACAGCATGGAGGGTCCTGCGAGATTTGGGGTGATTACCCAGATACATATCAATTCATCCCCCAGTGCATAACACACAAAATTTTACAGTCAATATTGACTGACAAAAGGAAACCTGGGACAACTCTTCAAAAGCACATTCTGTGTCTTGAACTCCTTTAACTATCTGTAGATGAATCATAGCTGCTTCAAGAAGCAGGAATATGAGAACTAGAAAAAGTAATATGTTTGAATCCATCTTCTAATGCACTTAGAATGGAAATACTGCTCCAGTATGAAAATGCATTCAGAATTCCATTCCTGATAAATAGTTTAAAATAAGCACATTGACTACTCTGGTTTTCCTAAAAGCCATGCTTTTATGCATCACCAAAAAAAACACCACCCCTTCGGTATGTCTCCCATTACTTCATCCCAGAAAGAGTCCCAAGTATAAAAATATGTAACTTCATAAAAGAAATGAATGAAAAAGGATTTATGTCCCATTTCATGGGAAAAGAGGAATTACTTATGATACAAATAAGACAAGCATACATATATCCACAGTACAGACATCTACTAACAAACTCATTTGAAGAGTTCCTTCCTTCTTAGTAAATGTCTTCTGTACTTCTTTAAAGACATTTCTATTGTATGATGCAAATGCATTAATGAAATAGAGTGGGATGCTCCTTAAAACAAGGAAGATGTTGGACCCATTCAACAGTACATCTTGAACTGCTCCATAGTTGGAAGTACTGCAGTAAAAGCACCTGGTCCCTTCCTTTATACAGGAGTAATTCCTCAGTTCTAAAATAAATTAAAAGTTGAATTTTCCAATTCAGAAAATGTGCAGGAGACTTTACTATATAGTATCATTTCCTGCACTGCCACAGAACACCAATACTGCTGCCACTATTTCAGCTTGTTGCCCACTCCAGCACGTGGTTTAACCAGCAAGCCTGTTCAGTCCCAGATCTCGCATCTACCACTAGAATAATCCCACGTGGCTGAGCTCTACAGAAAAAAACGTAAGTGTCTCTTTGGTCTATTTTAGAGATTGCACAAGGCCCAGAAAGTGACTCTTCCATCACACTTTCCTTACCTTGTTCAGGTAACGTTCATTCATTGCTTTTGCTATTTGTTTTATTTCACAGCGCTGATCTGCATCCCTTTTTCTTTCATTTAACTTCTCTGCCAGTGTTTCAAGTTCTGTAAGAGCCATCTGTAGAGGTAATCTGTCAGGATGTCCTTTATTAGTGTTCTTCAACATATCCTGAGGGCAAATTATAAAACAAAAGAAAAATCAGATTTAATTTCAAAGCCAAGTTCAAAAGATTACATGATGTAAAGTTACAAATACATTCTTTACCTGAGTACTACTAAAGAATAAGACTAATGAACACTTAATGAATATTCAGACAGTATGCTGCTTACCTTTCTGAATATCTTAAAAATTCTTAAAAAAATATTGAATACAGCTTATTTAAAGGACAAAAGAACAAAAAAGGTACATAATATTAAACAATTTGAAAATTAATATTATAGTACAATGTCAATGTCTGTGAACAATGATTTAAAATGAAACTTTTCTGATACTTTGTACTGTAATAATATTGTATTATCTTTATTACCATTATTATTCTTCACTAAAACATGGACAGTGTGTTCATTCTAAAGTAGAAGACCTTACTTCATGAAGATCACAATAGCTTCTTAAAGTCCTTCCCTTTTGCAGGCATACAGTGGGAACAGTTCAAATTAATACTTTTTCTCCTTTCCCACAGCATTTAAAAGCTCTACATACTATCTCATCTTCCTGTCAGAATAAACTTCATCGCTCCTGCTACCTAAAAAAATCTCACCATAACCTTCAGCCTACATGCTTCCCCCACAACTACCCTGGCTCCTTCACCCACAGTAATTCCCAGACCCGCATCCCAAAGGCTGCCCTCCTCTGTGGCACCCCAAAACACAGCTAGCACGCAGTCCTCACTGGGGTAGATCTGCTGTGGTCTGGAAGGAGTTACAAACAGTGTAAACTGGTCTGGAGGACGTCTATACTGGGGAACTGTGCTCTTCCTGCAGCTTGACCGCCTTTGAGATGAGATCCAGGGACTTCCTGTCAACTCCCCAGTTTCCATGGGAAGAAACAGAAGATGCTACAGGTCAGAAAGAAGCTGCAACACACTCTAGCAGGTCCTGTAAGCTAAGTAATCAGGAAGAGAGTGTGCTGTTGTTCCGCATGCCACATATATTCTGAAATCTCCAAGGCATGAATTAAATCCTTTTTGTATTGTTCTTAAATGGAAAGGAATGCCACCAAGTTCTTAGTCATATTTTTTAGTGTTATTAGCTTACAAACTGATATGATCAAGTAGCACATTGGACCTAGAGCTTTATTTATAAGATACATCTAACTTGGCAAGTAATCTAGAGTAAATCTAGTTTGCTAAGATTATCTCGCAGTGTACTTACTGCCTGTCACTGCAATTAGACGATGAGATCAGCACGTTTAGTGCACTGAAATTTTTTCTTTATTATTTCCCCATGTTATAGCAGTCACTTCCACTGCAGCAAGCTCCCCCAGCAGAAGACAGCTATCGTGTAGTCCCAAAGGTAAACCCCACAAGAATGCAACAAGAGCATCCCTTTGGTAAACATTACTTACCTGCAATAGTAGAATGAACTGTGGAAAACGTTGGATAGGTTTCATCATTAAACCATACAGTGTAATGCGGTCGGGACTTGACTCCTGGCACTGCTGCAATACAAGAAAGCTACAACGTTTACTACTGTGAGTGCATTTCCACCAGCTACAGAATTAAAGGAAAGCATTTCCTAAAGGTTTTTCTACATCACTTACATTATTATAATAGTAGGGCTGTAAAAATTCCATTTACTGTAAAGATTTAATTTGAAAATATTAAATCTTTTAAAAAAACCCGTCACTATTAAAATGATGGTCTGTCACTGAACTAAAATCTCCTTAAATAAATACAGCTAGGCTAAAGACTCACCAGCAATGCAGCACCCATGTATGTATTGGTAGAGCACAGTCATGCTTCTTACAGAAGCAGTGCATGGAAACATCTGACTTAAATATAAAAAAATTTAAGTGATCTGTTGATTTATAGTTCCTGATTTACTATTGCTGTTCTGTTCCTTGGGGTTAAAAGATTATAAATCTTTAACTACCTATGTGTTTTTACCTATGGGTTTTAAGAGAAAATCTAAGGAAAACATCATAATCTCAGTGCTATGCAAACAGAGATTTTCATCTTCTTTATTAAAAGAAACTAAGGAAAAGAACATTGATTTATGTTTAGAAATAAAAATGTAAGAATCCATTACTTTAGTTATCAGGAATGACAGATAAAACCAAACAAATTTCATTTGCATATGTAAAAAGGCCTTGTTTGTATAAGACTTTTGGAAATATGTTTGTATTAAGACATTTGACCAGAATCAAAGCTGACACAAAATGAAGACAGTAGAGGAAATACTCAATATTAAAAACAAAGCAAACTTAAACATTATTGAACTGGTGTGGTGCTTAAATTGCTCTTTATTGCTAGAGCTATCACCTTTACAAGAATTTATTTCCATAATTATATCCACAAACATACTCTTTTGCCCTTCACTGTGAGTATGCAAAAAAAAAAAAAAAAAAAAAAAGGAGGGTACCAAAATGTCTTCTGTCACCAGAGTTTGGCCATGAGTCCCCAGCTCCCAGCAGCACCAGTGGCACTGACAAGCAGTGATGAGAGGTGCAGGTTATGTCTCTACTCAAACAACAGGCTTTTAACCATGTGAGAAGTATGAAGTGACTACATGCACTGGAGAGTCTCAACTTCATTGTGCCTAAGGCTGCCAGAGTATCATCCTGCACAGTGTTGGCCACACTCTGAAAAGTTGTTAGTTATTTTTAAAATCTGAAGACTGCCACCCTTCCACCCTTCTCTAGGCAACCTAAGTGCTGCCCTCATTTGCCTAGGGTACCCAATTTCAGTGTTTGGTGGACCATTGCAATGGAACTGACAAGGCAACAGCTTTGAGAGGTACAGCTCAATCCAGGACTCTCCGGGAATGGGACATGCAGAGCTTTCAAGCTCTCAGCAGTGTCACAGACAGCCTAAAAGCCTTTCAATAGTTGATACCTTTGTAAGGTATCAACTTATCAATTGTTTTAAGACAGTAAACTCACCTTTAAGAAGTCTAAAAATGCAGGTTTGGTGGCACATGATTTCTTGAGAATCCCTACTGCTGTACTGAAGTTGTTCACATATTCGCTGTACGCATCCAATACCATAGATTTAGAAAACTGGAAAGACAAAAGGGTAAGCCTTAACTAAAAATACAGAAGACCTCTGAAAGCATAGCTATCTGACCATTAGGATTCACCTTGCTTGGACCTAAGATCTTTGCTTCTCCTAATGCTGTATCTACAGAAATATTGTTGATACCCAAAATAATCTTTCTGTAGAAGACAGGTTGGAAACAGACAGATGTAAGAGCTGTGAATTACAAGATATGTATTTACAGAAATTGCTTCATCTTGGCTACAACACTAGGGCATAACCTGAGGACTACGGGCAATCAAAGGGCATCCTCTGAGATTCAAAGTGGTAGCTGGGATCCCCTGATCATCTCACTGCTGCCTGTCATCCATACTGGGTGACTCAGAGAAGTCCCAGGGCCTTCCTGCACTAACCTCAGCTAGTCAGGACTTACCAAAAAAGCAGACATTGTGTGACCTGCAAACAGTCACATGACTTGTAAATTCATTGCCTATCACCTTCACCCTGGGAATAATGTTCTTCTACCAACCAAGGCCACTACTTGTTTTCTCTACCTTAAAACAGGTAGTTCAGTCCATTACTAAATGGACTTCAGGATGGCACATTTTACAAACACTCTTTACCCATGTCCCAGCCCCAGCCAGACGTCAGGAATTCAGGACAGCATCTACTGTGGGTTTTTTCCACTCACAGACTACTATGTATGACTATCTACTTTGTAGGAGATGCTGAGCCTCAATTTCACTTTAATTTTGGTGGGTTTATGAACCTCCAATTTCTCAGAGAAAGAAACTGTTTACTTAAATGTCTGAAAGCTTGATCAAAGCCTGAAAATTTTACCCATAATCCTTTCTCATCTGCCAACCAAGCCAAAGACATTTCATGTCAGTTTCCTTACCAGGATGGTACAGGCATTGGTGAATATGATAACAAAGTAGTTGAGTTTGGAAAAAAGATAACGGAGATGGAATAAAAAGACCAAAATAAAAACAGATTATCTGTTCTGACACATTTGCTTACTGAAGCAACAAAGACATCACCGATCATTTCAACAGAGTCCCACTCAGATACACGACTCGCCAGCGCAATCTGAAACATTGAATGGCACTGAAGAATTTCCTTAATTCGATAAAAGACCATTTTAAGTTTTCTTTCACTCAATAATTTTGGTTCCATATCTGAAAGGGGCTTCTCATATTGCTGTGGGAGAAAAGAAAAGTAAATAGACTTAAACAAACAAACAAAAAATTGATTTCAACAAGCAGAAAAACCAACTTATGTAACAGTACACACACACACAAAATCAGTGAACATTTGGCATGAAGCATCTGTAGCAAAACCTGCGCAAATCATATGACAGATTTGTTAAGGATCTGATTATTGTTCAAATTTTCAAAGTTAAAAAAATGCAAAGAATATTAAGGTACCTCCAGGATTCTTTTAAGGGCATCCACATAATTCTTCTCACTGTCAACTACAGAGCCCAAAATATACCTTCTCACGACCTGTTAAAACAAAAAAGTTTTGTCCAAAGCTCTAATCAGGTAACACAGTTAAAAATGGTGATGATAAAATTCTCATATTAATAAAACACAGAAAATACAAATTAATTTCAATACTGGAATTGCAATAAAAGAATACTATACCTCTTCCAAAGTAAGTAAATTTAGTATTACTCTAAAACTATTTATTTTAAAGAACACAAGAATTATTGTATCTGTAATTTATTTCTGACTGTGGCAATTCTGACCTTTACTTTGGAAACTTGTGTTTTAACTTTGGCATTTAGACAATGCTCTCAGGCACGTGGTGCAATTCTTTGGGCTGTCCTGTGCAGGGCTGGGACTTGGACTTTGATGATCCTTGTGCATCCTGCTCACCTAAGGATATTCTATAATCCTAGGTATAAATGTAGGCATTAATGGAAAGAATTATAGACATAGGCTGATGTTGGCTACTTCAGTAAACTGCTGCAATAAAATAGGTAACCAGCTTTCAAAAATCAGTCTTCAAATTTATTTTTTAATATGTTTTATAAATTTACTAGGAGTAACATGAAGAACAAGCAAATATTAATTGCCTTTTTAAGATAAGGCTCTATAAAATGTACTTTTATTGAGAAAGTATCCAAGAAAGTCATATGTTCTCTTTTGGGCATTACCATGTATAAGTGATAACCCCATCTCATCTATATTTACATGCATTGACATTGTAAGAGCTTCAGGAAATGCTACCATATTTCATGTTTACAAACTACAGGCTATTTATCACACCTCCTTCTCCACCTTCTGATTCTCTAATTCAGCTGAAACACACTTTGTATGCATGTGTGGGTCCTGTGAACATGATAGCACAGGAAGGAATGGGAAACTGATCTGGTTTAAAATTTAAACTTCTTACTGTCATTGATTATATTTCTCGCTGGTTACAAGGATTTGGTTTCACCCAAATCCATTTTCTAATCCAGCTCATTCCAGAGCTTTTAAAAGCGGGACTCTGAGGGAGAAGACAGCACAAGGGCAGGATCAAGCCACTTTCCCCAACTACAAGAGAAGGCAAAGTACTTCTTTTATTATTTTAAGCTAGCCTAAATGACCACGAAACTCAAATCTCAGGCTTGTTTCTCTCTCTGCTCCTGAACTCCACAGCCTCCCACCTTCTCCACCATGGCTGCCTTAATTCTCCACACTTGTTTTTCACTTTACCAAGTCAGGTTAAATAAGAATTTTAAGTACTGGCATTTCAAAGACGGACTTGAAAATTATCTGAGGCTTTGCCCAAAGATATATACAGTAAAATTAGTTGTGTATAATCTGTGTTTAGAATGGATTTAGCAGTGTCTTATTTGATATAATGTATCAGCTGCTCTGGTGACAGATACTAACTCTACTTTTTGTCACAGTTCATTCTTCTGAACAGAATAAACATCTGTAGAAGTAAAAATTTCAGGCTCTATAATACTCAGAATGGATATTTAATACTGCCTTTAAGTTATTGCAATAGATATGAGACCCAACCCCAGACAGTATTTACCGGCACCAGGATTTAAACAGAAGCCATCATGCCACCTGCTGTTTGAAGCCAGCACATCCATAGAACAGCTCTGCTGCCACAAGGTAGCTGGGCGAGAAGGGGTCCTGGCACTGGCCCCTCCCTGCCCAGGGTGCCCAGGGCTGTGACCCCCTCCAGCAGCCAGGACTTGCGCTGGCCTCTGCTGAGCTGCTCCAGTGTTCCTGTCCATCCCAGCCCACCAGAGCCCTTCTGACCAGCAGCCCCCCCTGCCACACGTGGCCTGCTGCACCTCACCAGCTTGGTGTCCCTCCAGATGTGCATTGCAGCTGACATTCAGATCACTAACATAGGCATTAAATGCCACAGGCCTGTATCCACTCCTGAGGGACACAACTAACACTGACCACCCGCCAGACTTGGTAGCATGGACTACAACCTTTGAGCATGGCATCCTCACCTGTTTTCCACCCACCTTCTAGTCCACCCATGCAAACTGTATCCCACCTAAGGGTACAAGGGTACTCCAGGAGACTGCCAAAAGCTAAGGCAGTCTGCTTCCCTCTGCTCACAAGTCAGTCACATCAAAGGGGCTCAAGTTGCTCAGGCTCAAGTGTGGTCCATCTGCGCTGACTGTTCCCACTCACTCTCCTGTCCTACCAAACCCAGGCATAGCTCCCAAGAGCATTTGCTCCTTTGCTGGGACTGAGGTGAGGCCAGACTTGATCCTCCTTCTTGCTGGTCAGTATGACCCTTACTTTTTCCCAGTCTTCTGATCACTGTGATCTTAGATGACTGAGAAAGACATTACCCTCAGCACCCTTGAATACATCCCATCTGGTCCCAGAGACAACTCTATGTCCAACTGGCCTCACTCCCCATCAGATGCAGATTAGGTTTCACCCCAGCAGGACCTGCCTCTGGGCTCATGGGTTGAGTCCTGAGGACAAACCTCCCCAGTAAAAGCTTTCTCACTAGGTCCCCGGCTCACTAAGCAGCTTACTCATGTTTTTCTCAGCTTCCTTTTGTTGCACAATGCACATATAAGAAACCCTTCACTGTTGCCTCTCACACCTCACTAGCTTCAGCTGAGCTTTGGCTTTCCTAACTCCATTCCTGCCCACTTGGACAGCTCCTTGTGGGCAGATAAGCAACATATATCATGACTTACACAAATATTACTGGTTTGTTCCAAACTACAAGCACTCTCATTTTTTTGGGAAAGGAGGGTAAATTTATACTTAATTACTTACAAAAAAATCCCAGTGAAACTGACATTCGTATTTGGAAAGAAGGAAAAGACAGCATTCAGACTGATGCTGAAATCTCACATTTGGTAGTTGCACTGTTACAAGATCAGCACTTCACTGGGTTAAACACACAAGAAAAGTAAACCTCACCAAATAAACAGAAAACGTGTATCACTCTCCTCAACTGCCCCTTAGTTTGGTTTTTTGCTCATTTTCTGAAAGTACTGACCAACTAACCCATGACTTGACACCACAAAACGTTAAAAACTCTCATATAGTTATTAGGTGTCATAACAATACAGTAACATGAACACACTGGATTTATTTTCAGCCAAACTTTCTAACTGATGTTGATTTCAGTGTTTTTTGAGGTGGAGAATAGCAAAATATATTCTTCTCCAGACTTGACTTTACTAGGGACAACTTTTTTTATCCAAGAAAGCCTTAAGATTCAGAGAGCATATAGGATATTTTCTACTTTTAAAATAGAAATCCCAAAGCACCTAGAGCAATGCCTTCTGACTCAATAAAAATGCTTTAACTCTCTTCTTTGGCACTCAAACCCATCCCATTTAGTTTAAATGTTCAACTAGTGAAACAGTAGAGTTATTATAGATAATTTTAGAATGCAAAACATCATTTTGAATCTCTAGCTGAATTTGGGACTGATGCAGCTTACATGCACACATACCAATTTTCAAAAAACTACTTATTTAGTTCTGAATTTGATGTCCACTTAAGTAAAACGTCAATATATTTGCAGAGCAAAGGCACCTAAGAGCCATTGATGTAGAGCAGAAGGGGAAGAAAAAGAGGTGGAGCATCATATTTCCTAAAGCCTATTACCTGCTGCTGTGATAAACCTTCAGGCATAGGAGTCATAATTGCTTCTGTATGCATACAGTCCACATCAATAAATAAATTTAGCTCTTCTTCTTCCAGACATGATGATCTATGATCTACAAACAATTAAATAAATGTCAACTTTTACATGTGGATTGAAAGAAGGAAAAAAAAAAAAGGCAAACCCAAAGAAAGCAAAGATCCTATCATCCAAACACAGCAGTTATACATGTTCACTTACCAAACAAATTTCCCAGCACTTCCGTGTCATCTGTGAAATCATATAAATACCACCACCAATACATGCTCTAGTACAGAAATCCACACAGCAGACCTATGCATCTTTTGCTTGACCTCTACTCCCTCCTCACAGCCAGGAGAACAGGGCTGTCCAGAGCGCAGAATATGACAACTACGGTTAAAGCACTGCAGCTCCAGGGCCATCATTTTCAAAATAAGTGAACTTTGGGAAGAGATTAAACACATCCATGCTAAAAATATTCCATACTTCCTTTCATAACCAAACTAAAGTAAGTAACCAAATTTACCAATGTTTCCTTTCATCAGAAACAAGAGTAAGGAATTCTGCATTGCTCTCTGTGAACAAATTTTACCAAAACAAGCATCACCAAAATGCAGTGATAGGTGGCAGTACACAGCCAGCCAAACAAGCTGGGGAAAGGCGAGATAAAGACAGTATGAGAAACTGTGTCATAGAACAAAAAGGGAAGTAAGGGAAGCAGATCTGATGGCTGAAAGAAATTTATCAGTTCATTCAACAAATTTGTCCTTAGCTCCCCGCTGATCTGGGACTAAACCATTCACAGATACACTGTGTCTGCCACCTAACCTCTAGGAATGTAAGGAGTGCTAGGTCCACTGTAACACTGCCCTGCAGATCATTTTTGTCTGTGCAACCGCAAGAAGTTTAGGATACATTTTTGATCACTAAAGTTTGTGCAAATACCTGTCTATATTCTATCTGAATTCTGAATTAAGCAAATTCAGAAGCAGTTGGAGGCCATGATCAGGATGTAAGGTTTGTGGTGGTCCTTACAGATAGGACGCAGCTTTATGTTATCTCACTCACTAAAAATTCCTTGAAAATGATGAAATTTTTAAGAAGTCAGCTATCCTCCACTGAAAACCATGTCCTAAGAGCTTATTTTCCTGACATTCAGGAGTTATTTGATGGAGAGAACTGAACAGACTTAGTAACTGGGCTGGTTTTGGCTGTCATAGAATTGTCTTCACAGTGGCTGGTATGGGGCTGTGTTTTGGATTTGTGCTGAACACAGGGTTGATAATATAGAGATGTTTTTGTCATTGTTGAGAAGGGCTTACACAAAGCAAGGCCTTTTCTGCTTTTTGTACTGCCATGCTGGCAAGAGAGATTAAGGGTGCATGGGAGGATGGGAGGAGATATGGCCAGCACAGGTGACCCAAACTGTCCAAAGGGATATTCCAGACCATATGACATCATGCTCAGTACATAAAGTTGGGAGAAGAAGAGAGAGGGGGAGACCTTTGGAGTGTTTGTCTTTCCAAGTAACTGTCACACATGATGGGGCCCCACTGTTCTGGAGATGGTTGAACACCTGCCTGCACATGGGAAGCAGTGAACTAATTCCTTGGTTTGCTTTGCTTGTATGAGTGGGTTTTGCTTTCCCTACTAAACTGTCTTAATCTTAACCCACGAGTTTTCCAGCTTTTACCCTTCCAGTTCTCTCCCCAGTCCTACTGGTAGGGAAGTGAACGAATGGCTCTGTGAGGTTTGATCAATGGCAGCGGTTAAACCACGACAGTAACTTCATATAATTTCCATACTCCCATCTACCAATACCTAGACAGCATCTATGATACTATTTGGTGGGACTTTTTGTTGTGTTTAAGCTGACCCTTCTCTGTGCACTCAGATTTCTCAAGTCACTCAGGTTCTTGCCCCAAAGATAAAACTACACAAGATGTATTGACCATACTGTCACCTGTCATCATATTATACCACACATTTTTGACACAAATCTGATTTCTTGCATCTAGTTCTCAGCTCCTAGTACAAAAATCTGCTAGGCCATTAATTTTCTTTCTCAGAAATTAATGGATAGAGGAACAAAGAGACACACTGTAATTGGCATATACCTTGAGAAATGAAAGATTTTGTTCTAATGAAGCTACGACCCTTCTTCACAGCCGCTTTTGTCTTTTCAAGTCCATCTTTTGTACCTTCTCTAGCAGCTCTCATAAGCTTTTGCATCTGTAAGATAAAAAATACAGTCTACATGTTCAGTGAATAATAGGAACACATTTGAGCCTGCACATGATGCAGAATATTTTTGATCAAAATATCTTTAAGAAGAACACTGTCAAGTGGTTTAGACTATAAATATAGTTCAAATTCAAAGGAATATATAATAAGTAGATAGAATCACCAAAGCTCAGACCTGAACATCTGTATTTCTTAACAAAATAAAACCTGGAGACAGGGACTTACTTCACAGCAATACTGTATGTAAGTGTAAAATAGCAGAAATGCTTAAGAACCCTTCTACATCAAACACATGAACTCAAAACAGTCTCCAATGCTCAGCTTATGTTATGTAACAAATACTTACGATTCACAAGTCATTAACACCCAAGGGTCTTGTCCATCTATCTTCTATTTCTAACCTAAAGATAAACCCCTATACTTGGTTCTATGTTAACTGTATTCTTAAATAAACACTTTTATACAGAAAATGTTACAACTAATAATCACATTCATTGAAGAAAAAAGTTGATTTAACTAAGAATTGCATAATTTTACAGTACACTACTAGAAACTAATTAAATTTCATGCAAAAACAAAAAAACAAGCCACTGAATGTTGTTTTGCTAGAAAATGTTTCTAAAAAATCTGCTTTGTACTTTTGCTTTTCCAAAATGCCACCACAGCAAAAAATCACCACTACTGTCAGAACACAAACAAAGCTGTCTTGATGCAATCAGACAATTTCATGGTTTGAGATGAAGCATTTAGCAAAAACACAGCCTTTTCATAATGGCTCCATTCAGAATGGAGAGAAGGGAGATTCCAACTCCCACAGTTTGGTTCCATGTGGCTGGAGAGCCAGGGTCAGGCCAGCCCCACAGAGCTCATGTGGCTCTCAGAGAGGCACTGGGGTTGTACACCTGGCTCACACTGAGATAAGGGCACCAGTCAGCAGGGAAAGACAATGCCCTATCTCATCTTCTGAGATCTTCTGTAAACATTAAAAGCAAGCATGAGAAAAGGTCCTTGATCAAGTACTTTTAAGAATATAGCAATTTTATAGTCTTTAATTTAAGACTGCATAATTACAATGCATTACATATATAATTCCTTTCATACAAATTATTGTCCACATTTTCAAGTTATTATTAAAAGACAACATTGTCTGTGTTGGAAAAGCAATTATTTAAATGTAGCTGGTTACAAAAATCAACTACACTACCTTCAGCTCATGTTTTTGCTTTAGTTGCTGAATCTCTACTGCTCCCACAGTGTTTGCCATCAAATCTTTCATCTTTTTTTCATAATTCTCCTTTAAACGCGTTAGGTCATGAGAAAGCTACAGTGTATAAAAAGACACAATCTTTTCAAAAAGTTGTAGTGCAAATTTCATGCTAAAGGACTCACATAAATCATGCACGTTGCCCATCTGCCTACTGATACAAGACAACTGAGGGAAAATTATCACGTTGCTGAGCTCAGGCAGGTGCTTTTCTGCTATGCTGGCAACTATGTAAAGACAGGGGCAAAGACACTCAGGCCAGGCTAACGATACTGTTAGATATACATAACTATATTGTATGTATCTCTTAACAACCGCACAGAAACAACACATCAGCTTTAACCATGAGCATTATTCACTGAAGCACAAACCCTAGACAGTGTGGTTTGGACTATCCTTCAAAACAGTGAATTGGAAGAACTCTCAGAGACTGAAGAACCTGTGGAGCCTGCTGGCACCTGGGAAGGTACAGATTGACAATGCATTGAGTCATGTAAGGAGACACTAACAGGATGCACGGTCTATTAATTTTCACATGCATCTACCACAGCCTCATTGTATGACCATGGGTGTAACCATCTCGTACAGGAATATATCCGTTTCCAAGGTAAGGAAACTATCATAGAGAAAGAAATGTTCTGGAATACTAATCAATATTTTTTAATTATTTTGAGAAAGCTAGATAAAAAAAAGATTAAAATGCAAGGAGGAAAGGAAAAAAGGAAAATATTTGGTGTGCTCTATAATAGAAGTCCAATGGAAAAGCCATCAGCTTTATGTCAACAGTTATTTGGCAAGAGATCAAAGCCTCAGGAAAGAGAGGGCCACTGAGTTGAAAACAAAGGGACGGGTCCAGCACGTAGCTCCACAAGACTAGGTCAGGATGCAATTACATCCAACATAAGGATTCTGGCATTACAGCAGTATAATGAAGACTAGCATCTGGTTCATAGACTAGAAATACTTAATAGCACAAAAACCTTCCCATCTTAAAATAAATTAGTAAATAAATAAAATAATAAGAATCATAATGAAAAAGTGACTTTGAGGGAAGTCATACCAGCACTTAAAATTAAAAATCCTACCTCCAACCTGCAGTATTTTTCAACCAACACTACAAATAATAAGGCAAGTCCCTCACAGGTTCTGAAAGGCTACAGAACGCAATATGCTGTGAATGTACTGTAAGATCCATCACAAGACTTTAGGAGAAGCGAGAATGCAAGGAATGGCTAGAGAGAAAAAGAAAATAAAGTGGAATAGTTTCTGCCCATGTTGGAATGCCAGTGCAGGGAGGGCTGGGGTTGGTTTGTTTGGGGGGTTTTTGGTTGGTTGCTTTTTGTTGATGTTTTTTTTTTTTTTAGTTGTTAGGATTTCTTTCAGCAATCCTAAAGTTTCTGTCGTCTTCTTTCTCTGCCAAAAACCTTGTCTAGTTTCCTGATTTCTCCATCTCCCAGTAACCCACCCAGTAGCAGGAGCTTCTCTGACTTCTCCATCCACCAAATAAAGTGTTCCCAGGCTCCTCATGCCCATCCTCACACAGCAATCCCCAAAACCTTTTGTCACAGGCCTGAAAAAGCCAGCAGCAGGGCAGTACCCAGGAGCACACCTCTGTCCTCTCCTCTCACCACTCCTTAGCCTCTTTCTCAGACACTTTGTGCCTGATCCTGGCACTACCGCGCCCAGCCCCTGCCAACAGTTTCTTTTGACAGATCAAGTACACTTTTAATTGTTTAAAAAAATGGTTTTAAACCTAGGTTTGTACACATGTGTAAATAGATTCTTATGAATGATGCCAAAGCTGAAGCTAGAGATAACAGCTAAAGTTTTTTTAAAAAAGAACAAGCCAGCAGCCATGTTAAGACTTACACACTCACATGCAAAGTGATTTCCTAGTCTCTTCCAAGGTATTTAATACTAAAAAAATAACCAAACTCAATTTCTTCAGTCTTGTTAAAAAAACTCCCCAGAAACAAACAGCTGCAGTAGCTTAATCTTGTTCTAGTCAGAACAAAACCAAGATAAAAACAGAGGATGAGCACTCAGCTTACAAAGAGCAGATTTGGGTGGGCTCAAGTCTTGCAGTTAATTACTCACTCCCTGATTCCCAAAGGGCGGGCAGCAAGGACAGAGGTGGGGGGAGTGCAGATAACATGTGCTGGAGGGAAATACAGACAGCGAGGCTTTTATTCTCACCAAGATAAGAAATCTGCAAAATAAAAATAAGGGTCCCATGAAATAACACCCTGTCCACAACCTCTACACTTTCCAGCTGTGGGGTGCTGACACAGCTCACAGTGCTCAGTTGTGGAGCGACTCTTAGGGATCTGTCCCTAGTCAGCACACAATAGGGAGCCATGAGGGTTTTTCAGGGACTCTGGACACTGAGCCCAGCCCTGCTTGTCCCCTCTGCACCCCATACTCCATCTTTCAAGCACCCAGGGCAGGGAGCAGGAGGCTGCCCAGGTGCCAGGGAAGACTTTCCTCTCACAGAGAGGGCACACAAGGGCAGAAGGAGAGGAGCCAAGGCAGTAAGAGTGCAGGTGTCCAGGGTTCCTCCCAGCATGCAACAGAAGAGATGCAGCAACAGCAGACACCCATGTCCCCTGTGTCTTCCTGCCTCCTAGAAAACAGATGCAGCCAAAGATACTAGACTAGGGAAGTGTCACAGATGGGTCATTTTAATCATGCCACCTCTCTTCTCTCCTTAATAAATGGTACCGAGTTATCTTTGATTACAAAAATCTTTTATTTTCAAGTTTTTTTTCAGCTGAGTCACCTTCAAACTACCAAAGTGATACAGATCTAAGACAGAAACATAGGGAACAATGGTGAACAGTTCTGTGACGTTAGAGCACGTAAACAGCCCAAACCTTCAATTCTTGTCAGGCTTATACCCATTTGTCCTTTGCATTATTTTCCACAGTTATTTACCAATTATATTAATCCAGCAGTTGGAATAGAAGAAAAGGTGAGGAACCATTTACAAGCAAAAATAATCTCATTTTTAGTTTCATTTTTATCCAATTTGAGTTTTTTCCTCAGTTTCTGTTAAATGTTTTTAGATTTTCATTTTCCTGCTAAATTTTGTTGTGTACAGTCACTTCCACACTAATTCACATCTCCTTTAAAAAGTCGTTGTTGTCATTTGAAACTGAATTGAGGAAAAGAGAAATACAGATAAGAAAAAGTGTTGGAAACCAGGATAACCTCAACGATTGGCAGCACTGTGGGATACATACATGTCTCTTGTGGTTGCCTCGCAAAAAGGAGCTGGGAATTCCATTTTTACACTCAGAATCACTCTGTTCTTCATAGCTTTCAAACTCACTTGAACTCCAACCATATTCCAGTGAGCTGTTTCCACCATCATCACCATTTTCAACATCATCGTAAATCATTTCCTCTGCAAGAATTAAAACAAAATAAAAAATGCTACACTGAAATTTATGTTTGTTTCAACATTGAAACACTTGTTGAGGATGTACCATAAAGAACTGTACAGATTTTTGTATGCACACGAAAAATTCTAAATTAAAACCAATATTCAAACAGCCAAAGTGGGTTGTCTTTGTTGAAACAGAGTACTAAAAGAGGACAATGTTAAGGGTACACACCACAATCCTTTTAAAAGCATGCACTATTCAAACACTTATGTCCAAATCCCACAACATATTTTAGAAGAACTTCAACAGAACTTTGAACTGTGGCTGTGAACACATCTGCGCTAAGCAGCATCATCCTTCCATTTGCAAGCTTGCCATTTGTCCCTCGGAACATCATCAGCTCAAATGGCAAATGCTAAAACATAGCAAGAGTCAAACAAAAATGTCACTACTTCAAGCAGAACAGATCAAACCAAAGGAACAAGAAATATATTACACTGTGATATTTTACGACTCTTGCAATTCCACCAGTCACAGACATCTCTCACATCTGTGGGTTACCTCACTCATAATCTAGTCTAAGAACTTGAAGTTTTAACCTTTTCAAGATATGGAAAGCTATATTGCAAAGGCTGACCAAAGTACTTTCTGTTAAAGACATGGGTGTTTTCACTGGTACAGATGTCAAGAACAACAAACTGACTCAAAACAAAATGAAAAATTTAGTGCTAATTGCTTATCAGCAAGTAGGTATGTGCTTCACACACAGCATCATTTGTCATTACAAGTAGAGAAGTGTGGACACTTCTGTCAGGATTCACTGTTGTCAGAGGTTATGACGCAGCATTTAAAACTGTCTCATTAAATTCAGGAAACAAAAGCCGTGCTTTCATTTTAAGATTGATGTTTCATTTAAATACAGAAAAAATATGTACTCAAAAGAAAAGCTGATGTTTCACACATCTATCTAAACCCTAGATTCTGTGATTTAAAAACTACATTTTGACCGATATTTTAATATTAACATTAATTAAATTCTTCATAACACAGGATTCTATTCTTATTTGGAAGATTCAGATTTTAATTTTTTTTTTTTAATCCCCATGTATATCAAGACTGTTCTTAAAATATACTTACTGAAGAAAACATCTTAGTGGTAATCCAGCATAATGCATAATTTAAAAGAATCACCATAGTAAGTCAAAAGAAGTCAAGACTTATACAAGTCTAACTCCTGTGTTGTCAGTATTGGGGTAGGATTTACCCAGTGATCTGGTGAACTTGTCCATGTGCTAATGTAGCCTGAGCTCTGACTGCAATTTGTTTGGAAAAGTTATGCCTCCCTGACAAAATATACAAATAATAAACACCAAGATCATGAATGTACAAAGATGAAACTTCCCTTACTACCTATTTTTTCAGAATCTTTCAATGTCTTTGGAGACAAAATGAAAGCTGACATCTTCTGCATTAAGCTGAAAATTCTGACCGAGATGCTCAGCAGAATTTTGCTCCATATCCCATATCACACCCAGCTCAGCCTCCTGGGCCTGGTGTAGGCATTTCCTGACTGAGAAGCAACAGTGCAAAGATGTCCCTGCTAAGAGTAGCACATTCCACTAAGGCGTCTTCCAGTAATATAAGCATTCAAGTCATGAATGTGACGAAAAACTTTCCAATAATAAGTGAAAAAAAATTCAGCAATATTTTGTAAAACACGTTTGAACACCACTAAGGACAAGAAATTAAATTATTACAGCTTTAAATACTAATGTGGTTTTCACACAAGAAAATTTAAGTGTTTTCTTGAGTCATTAACAACTTCAGTATCAAACACACCCTACACCCTCAGAGTGCCATGATGAGTAGATCCTGAGTGCCTAATGAGCCAATCCACTAGAACACAAAATCAGTCAGTAGTAACCAATTTTTAAGCAGATTTCATTACAACCAAAAACTGTACAACAAATCTGAGCAAGAACTCATTGAAATAAGCTTCTTGAGACCTAGCTCCATCAGTCCTAATAACGAAAAATCTTGGCTCCAGCAACTACTTTGAGATCTATTCTGCCCCATCCAAACATGGTCACACCATCAGGAGCAGACCACTCCAAGGCTGAAATAAAGCATTTGTGAAGAGTCACAGTCTGGATGGTAAACAGCCTCTCTGAATCTCCTCTTCCATCTCTCAGGCATTTTTATGCTAAAGAGGACTCCAAGAAAAGAGTGGTCCTTTCTATAGCCATGACAGTGATGCATTATCATACATGATTTAAGCATTTAAAACCTACCTTGCCTTGTTTAGGTCACTATAGCTACAACACCCAACAAAATAATTCTCTAGTATGTGGAACAGTCAAGCATTTGAGACAGTATCTATAGAATACAGCAGAATTCAGCTTCTGAGAAGAGGAGAGTAGGAGACCTGCTGAGGAAACGTCTTTTAAGTGCCAGTTTAATTCTGAACTTTGCAAGACCTATCAACAAAATGTTAATTCCCTTTACATATATTTTAGGTACTTAATGAACATATCTGTTCAGTATACATTCTCATAATTCTATATTACACTGCTTTCAACATGAGCTGTATTACAAAGACCTCAAACCTGGTTCAGAGTCTGAATCTTCCCTTGGCACATCATCGTAAATTACCTCATCTGGGTCTAAAATCAAAACACAAAAAAACAAATTAGAAACTTCCTTAAATTTGAATTGAACCAACAGTCTTTAAGAGGTATTTGGACAAAGTCCTTTATATGCTTTGCTTTTGGTCAGTCCTGAAATTGTCAGGCAGTTGAGATGCTGTAGGTCCTCTCCAACTGAAATACTCTATTCTATTCTAAAGGATTTTGGTTATACTGGAACATATGAACACAGTGGAGATATGACTCATTCAAGAAAAAGTAGCAATTCCTTCCCTTCCACATTCTCTAAGTACTTATTTGCCAAGTAATGCACGAGAAGAGCAATTTCATATACAGCCACAGAGCAGACTCTGAACTAGAGCATATTTCTTCTATACAAGCACTGATGGAGCCAAATGACTTCCATAGGACAGTGATAATTTGACACTGATTCCACAGACTCCAAAAGGTGCTCCGTGGAAAAGTGAACATTAACTTTATTCTAAAATACACAATTTTATTACACTGTTGAATGTTTTAACTGGTACAACTTGATTCTGGAACATATCTGAAAAAAACCACCATGAAAGTGAACATGGACATTCCTGTAAAATATACTTGTGCATACAGATACACACATCTGTGGATCACAACTTAATAATGACCTTTTTCTATACTTGTACTTTAATGGTCACTGATACTTACTCTCCATCCATGCTGTATTTGCAGGATCTGCAACCCATTTGGCAAGGGCATCATCCTCTCTATTGGGCTGGTTATCTTCACTTGAAAAAAAGGCCATAAAATAAAAGCATTAAAAGTTACACTACAGTGTTTTTAAACAGTTGCGAAGACAAGACAATAAATGTCTTCTTGCCTTCCAGTTCCCACTCCAAGGCTGCTGATTACTCAAAAATATTGTTTCAGAATGTAGTTAGGAGATTAACAATCTATTCTATTTATTAGTCTGAAAATTTTAGTCAGGAAATTGAAAACACTTTTGAGTTCTTCTATCAGAACACAGAAAATTGTCTTAGAAATCATTTTTCATGGTAAATAGGACTAAAGACATTGTGGGCTACATCAGGAGCCAGCAGGCTCGCTAACGTTGTTACCCCCCTCTGGTTGGTGCTGCTGAGGCTGAACCTGCAGCAGCATGATCAGTTTAGGCTTCCCAGCACTCCCCTTCCAGAGAGTTATGGAGAAATTGAAACTACTTCTAGAGAGATGCAAAGAAACTGAAGTCAGGGACTAAATCACATGGCTTACAAAGAAGAGGAAAGACACGGAGCTTTATTTAGTCTGGTAAAAAGAATGCTAAGGGGTGATCCAGCAGCACCTACCTGAGAGAGAACTACAGAGGCAGTGGAATCAGGGTTATTTATGTTTTGTTTGCATTTGTTTCGGGATTTTTGGGGGGGTCATTGTTTTCTCAGTGCCAGATGAAGAGGGAATAGTCAAACTGCCCACTGGAAGACGTGGTTTGGACATTAGGGGAAAAAATATCGTACAGCAAGGAAGACTACAGCAGTCTGTTGCAGCTGTCACTGCTATCACTCTAGAAAAATTAAATCGAGTTTCTTTAAAAATGTCATGCATGATTACACACACAAGACCTCAATTAGTGCTGATTTTGGTACACAACCAGAGCTACAGTTAAGAAAGTGAAAAACAAACAAACAAACAAAACAAACAAAAAAAAAGCCACAAAAAACCCAAACCCAAAACAAAACCAAAACACACAAAAAACCTGAAGTATCACACAAGAACAATAAAATATTTATGAAATGCAAGCATCCTTAGAAATTAAGGTTTTACAAATCATTAAAACATGCAAAACTGGCAATCACCTATTTTGAGGCTCCTCTGAGTTTACAAAATTATGACATTCTTCACTTGCTGACTGTGTACCTGCCAGGTAAAAAAAAAAAAAATCATGAAAATGCTTGGAATAACATGTCAGTTTGGTTCAAATGACACATTTAGCATAAGAAACTGATTTTACTAGTTTCTTGCTAATGAATAATCTACTTCTATGTAACATATTTATTCTTAAAAGTGTCTAAAAATATTTAGAAGTTTCTTCACACTATCCTTTTTTGAAAATTAAATAATTCAAAGACAGACATTTGTTATAAGAGCTGTTAAGAGGAAATTACAATTATCTGATGTGTTTAATTCTGATATATCAAGCATATTCCTCTATAGGTAATATCAACACCACAAATATTTGCTATTACTTGACAGTATTCCTTATGGTGGTAGAAAGCAAAGGCTGGCAAAAAGGTTGGAATTATAGCAGAACTTCTGCCTAGCTGGAGAAAATATTCAAAATACAAGAAAAAGGAAAGTACAGGAATATATGAGGAGCTTTCTCATCCTAGTTCTCTCTTAACATTAAACTGTCAGGTTTGCCAACTCTGGCTACAAAATGGGGGATGTTTTGTTTCTGTAATAATTCATACTTATTTCCCTTTCCAGTTTCCTCTTCTGTCTTAAAATTGTACTAAAAGACAAACAGAAATCATCAAATCATCACAAGAGGAAATCCCACAGCAACTCTAAATCCACAAGGATTGGAAAATAAACACGGAGAAGTGCACACAGAAAAGGTAAAAGGGAGAGAACTTTGCCATGACCTAGAAAAAGCAATATAAGGTATGAGAAGAAGCCATTTGGCTTGGACACTGAACTATGGCTCTGGAAATTATTTCATGACATTAAAAAGGAATTAGCATTAATCATTCCCGCACTTGTCCAGGTTGAGTGGTATACAGGCATTAACAAAAGAACAAAAGTACCTGAAATTAAACAACCATCTTCATTCAAAAAATGTAAGGTGTGTAAGTACAGTACCTTCTTCGTCTACAGAAACACTGCGAATTATGACAGGGCTGGAGTATGCTGGCAGTATCAAGGGTAAGTTAGATGGCACAGCATATCCACAAGGGACAGGAACAGAATATCCAGCAGACAAGTTTGGACTTGCACATTCATCTTGAGGACTTGGTTCTGGTGATGAGGATGGATCCTTGTCTTGGATTGGTGAAATATTTATGACTGAGTAAGGATTTACTTTGGCTGGAGCACCTTCCACAGCAGGTTCTGATGTTTGCAGTTTCTCATTGTTTTCTAAATTATCAGTTCCTTTAGTTGAAAAATTAAACAAAAATATGTTTTATTTTTCATACTTCAAGTTGCTCTAATATCAGTCTGCAAGTATCCTAAACACTGACACGATCTTGACTATACAAGTTCTTTAGTAAAGTTGTATAGTTACAATCTGTGACTCAAAATTCCCAAACAGTAGTGTTATCCTCCCCATTTTACAGATGAGTAATGTAACAGTAGCAAAATGAGTTACAAGGATGCCTATGGAAAAACACTAACTGGATTGCAAATCTTGAACAGCAGGCTCCTCTTTTTCTTCTCATAAGCACATGGTTCAAAACACTCTTAAACCCTGAAGGCTAAAATCTGGATTCTAGATTATCTGGATCTTATGAACACAAATATGAGCAACATTTTAGGAATAGGCATGAGGACAGAAAAAGTTCACTGGAGGATGTTCCTCAAAGAACAGTCCTGAAAACGCTCTTTTAAGAAAACAGAAAATACCTTTCCAAGTTTTTCTCTTTGAAAACGTATTGTTTTCATTTATGTAAAGTTCCCGGTATTTTTTGAGACAAGCTGAGACACAGCAGAACCAAAGTAAACAAAATCAGCTGTTAGCAATTTGAGCAGAATACAGCAATTTCCAGACTACACCTCAGCACTGGGAACATCTGAAAATATTATAACAAATGTTTTAATGTTTGGTAAGACTTCTGCTTATGAAAAAAATTCATACATTCAAACTCCACTTAGTTTTATGCACATCTTAAGACAGCAAACAGCAAGCTCAGCTGCGAGACAGCTTATCTCAAGCTATGCACATACCATAAGATCTGCAAGGACAATGTTTTCCTGTAGCATGACACTGTGACTGTGCCCAATCCATTGGTTTGAATGTCACACTTGGATGGGAAACCTCACGGGAATTACATGTGATGGCTATTTGCCTTGTCAAATCTACCATAACTATAACTGGCAGGAATATTCAGAACACTTCAATGGTATTTCCATGGAAACCTCTTTCTACAGTATTTTTATTGTACTGTCAAAAAAAGGCATCCTATAATCAGTCTTGACTATTTAGCCTAGGGGAGGCACAGACCCACAGGCTGACTTACCTGAGGCATCAGCTGCTTGGTGCTCTATGTTATTTCCAGGATCAGCAGGAGGTGGCACAATGGCTTGCCTGTCTGCTTCTGGTATCTCATCTCCACTATCAAAGTCAAACTGTTCTCCCTCCTCCTCCCCATTGTTCGTACCCGTGGCTTTCGGTTCGTGCTCTAGAACTGTGCAGAAAGACATGCCCTTGGTTGTTTATTCTTAGCAATGATTTCATGGGACCAGTAAGTGTTCCACATTACAAATGAAGCTTATACAATGAACCCTTGGATTTTAGGGTTACTGGAACAGAACAAAAGCTCCTTGACATGTTGATAACCCCATGCAGTTTTCAATAAATCCTTCAGCGTAAACCAGGAAATTACTTGGAAAGCAATTAAGATGTGATAATGCAAATACCTTTAGTTTTGTCATAATGACCCAAAACGTTTTCAGAAAAATCCTTTAAAACCCAGTTCTTTAAATGAGAAAAGTTCACAGTTCAATTGGTTTGTACAGGGACTTTATAACTTCAAGTCATTTTTCCTTTCTAACTCGAACTCCTAAATCTATTCTTTAACAGTGTCCAAATGCCAGTGATGGTAACTTTCTTCCCACATTTAATGAGACCAGGCAGACTGGTTTTTCTGCTCCAATTTGTGATAGTTTTAAACCAACAACTTTATGCAATGTGTAATTAACCCTACTACCACACACAAGGTGCACTCTGGTGGAGGTGGGGATGGCTGACTTTTCAGTTCTTACTTTTCAAGAAGTAATGGCTGAAATAATTACACCCTAATATGGATAGAAAGTGTGAATGTGGGGGTTTTTTTGTGTTTGCTTGTGAAGACACTGTAGCACAGATTTAGCACTGTACATGGGGCCGGGGAGCAGGAACAGGTAGAAGTGCAGGGCAGTTTCCCCTCCGTGCCACTGTTCAAAACCCACACCGATTTAAGTCCCCTCATGCATCTATAGCATAAAACTACATACTAAAATAGACAAAGATGTAAACATACCAATATGTTATTAAAATATACTTGAAGTTGATAAGGTTCCCCTTGCCTCCTCTTTCAGGCAACACAAAATGAAAAACAAAGTCTTGCAAGGGCAGTTGAATCTCCTGAGTCAGGATGATAATATCAACTCTTCTACCATCCAGGAAATGTTTTCTATTTTTATGATAAAATCCCCATATACCTAAGCTCTAGACTGCTTAGATTGTCATGGTAATCAGCATTCCTGCCAAGGCTTCTGTTTCTTCAGGCAGGCTGAGCCAGCATATTTTACCACAGCCGCAAATAACAAGATCTTTCATGCTGCCTCTCTGCAGGACAAAAAGTGAACTAATTGCAAAAATAGTAAGGAACAAAAAAAGGGGTTATCCTGCATTTATTGTCACGGCTTATGGTTGAGGCAGAAAGACATTTAATTTCTTTTTGATGCCTTTTAAAAATCCTTCTGGATGAACGCAGCCTTTGGATTAAGGGTTCTCATTTTCTGCTTTTGTTCATTAGCAATTCTATTTTACCCTGAAAGATGCAAGAAATCCTGCAGAGCTCTTCCAAGTGACAAATACAGCAAAAGACAAATACAGCATTCTTCCCGATTCCGCATCCATCTGACTAGATTGTACTACTTGTTGCTGTATTGTAATGGATTAAAAAAAGAGGGGGGATGTTGTTTTATCTGCAGCAGGTTTTTTTCAGTTTGTTTTCAGTATGCCTGCATACTTCAAATTTGGAAAACACAAACATGTGAAATACCAATTAGACTTGTTTCTGTCATTACCAGCATGTGAAGCGTTGGTTACTCACTCAGGCTAGGCAGATAAATAAATAGATGACAGAGAAAAGCAGGTAAGAGCTAAAAAACCACAATGTTTCACAGAATCATTTAGGTTGGAAAAGACCCTTAAGATCAAATCCAAACATTAACCTAACACTACTGAATCCACTACTAAACCATGTCCCTAAGCACCACATCTATATGCCTGTTAAATACCTCTAAGGATGGCAACTCAACCACTACCCTAAGCAGCCTGTTCCAGTGCTTGACAACCCTTCAGGAGGTGCTCAAGCTGCTATCTGCCACTCCTCTCATTGTACTATGTAACTGAATCACAGCAACAACCACTTCCAATATACAAGGTGGCTCTGTCTATATTTTATATGATGGGAGGAGGGGGACGATGAGGTTAATGGAATGAGTTGATCATATCTGCAGCATTAGGCCACTCAGAAAACTGGGGTACTGTTGGAGAAAGGCTCAGCTGAGAGCCACGAATGCACCTGCTCAGTGGAGGTGAATTCTAGGCATCGGCAAAAGAAAAACTGTGTATGGTGACAAAACATCTGAGCCACACAGGGAAACACTGCAGGAACAGCAGGCACCTCTGGGTTTTTGTAGTTGCTAGGTTAGGGAGCTTCTGGATCCTAATACTTCCACTGGGCACATACAGGTGACTTAGGCATCAGGTGCCTGGTAACTCCCTACTCCAACACTTTCACTCTGATGCAATTCCCCAGGCACTCAAGTCCAGTGCAGTGCCATTTGTTAGACAGTCAAGATCTGCCACTAGCAAAAAAAGGTAATTTGAGACACTGCAAGCAAAAGGAATGACTCAAGACCCAGAAGCAAAACCTGCTCAACCGATGCATAATTTCCCTTCAATGCGCCCCCTTATTTCCTCTTTAAAAAGCGACTAACCCATATTTTATAATTGTGGGAAGAAATCTTCCATAGGAATTGATTTTCTCAACTGGAGTAAAAAAACCTATTGGATGTGCCACCTATTTTTTTTTCTCTTATGACTGTTAACACTGCACCCTTTCATTAATTTGAAAACACTTACTTTGCATCATAAATAAAGAAGGCACCGAATCCTATAATTGAGCATTGCACCTGGAAAGATTCCCTAATTGCATCACTGATGGGAGAGCAGGTAAAGATTAAAAAAAGACAAAAAAGAAAAAAAAGAGATAAACTCCTTTCTCAGTTTATATGTCCTTTAGAAAGGGTAAACTGAGACAAATATCCTCACTTCAGAAAGTTTTGAAACTTTATTTTAGCTTTGCATCTCTTCTGCATTTACTTAATTCTGCAGGCACAGACTTTAAACTTCTAAATTTACAGATCCCTTCCACCTCATACTTCATAAAAATATTCTCCTTTAAGTTTTTAAATCTCCAGGGCATAATATTTCATTTGATGGAAAAAGCATTTTAACAACAAAAACAAAAAGAAGGTGGGGGCTTTTTGCTTCAATTTAAGAGCTGCTCAGCGCTGCAGATAAATACAGATTATGCTAGAGAGAAAATTACAAACACCCCTGTTGAAAATATGTACTGTCTCCACAGTTCTTTGTGTTATGTCACAACAACACACAGTCAAAAGCACTTGTGAAATGCTACAGTTAGGAAGACATAGCAGAGTTAGACTCGAGCTGAACCTGGCTACTAAAAACCACCACAGATCTTGCCAAATTTCATGCTTAGGAAGAAAGCCCCTTATTTATCTGCCTTCCTCCTACCCTTTACCTGCAAGTCAAAAGGATCAAGACAAAAAGTACATTTCCAGGCAAAGGTGGTTGCAGAAAAAAAGTAGGGGTGGGGATGTGTGAGGGGGGAATTTTCAGTGGCACCTTCCCCTCTAAAGAAACACAAAGGACAACTACCTTCCTTTTCCTTTTTTCTTTTTTTTTTTTTTTTTTTAAACATCATTTTTAAATGCACTTTTTTTTTTTCCCCCCAAAGTAATAATCACAGACTGCTTAGCATGACAGAGTCTGTCTGGAACTACTTCAAATAATTAAATTAGTTACTAAAAATTCAATTTGCCCTTTAACCACCACTCACATCCATAACTTTACGCTTGCCAACCAGAGCAATGAGAATACAATAATTGATTAAAACTTTTCATCTTATGCCAATACCGCTCTGAAGCTCTCCAAATGCTTCAGGGAAATTCTTGCATTTCTAAAAATTTCTATTTGGAGTTTTAAAGCATGAAAAAAATAAATCTGATATAATGGAAAAATTGTCTTCAAGTTAAATTAAGTGTGAAAGGGTTAATTTAGAATTAGAAAAAGGAATATATACTCTCATAATTGTTAGCACAACACATAGATTTATGACTTTTTTCTGCGGTATGTTATTCAGTGAAATTACTTTTCTTAAGCTTCCTTCAAAAACAAGCTCACTTAGACTGTGTTTGCAGAGATCTGCTGGGGCATAAGCAAATTTAAACAAATTTTGGTCACTCTGCCAATTGCAAAGCATTCTTGGCACCACCTGCTTTCCCATTCATTATCCTTAGATTATTTATAGCTCAATGTAATACAGCTAAGGAGTTAAAAGAGTGACATTAATTTTAAAGCCCAGATTAAGCTAGTGAAGCTTCATTAATAATTTTCTTAAACGGTTTATTTTAGAGACACAGAATTAAAACAGAAAAGCTCTGTGCTTACTATCAAGTGAACTTTTAATACAATGAGAACACGGAGGGGGGGAGGGGAAAGGCACCTCATATCTCTATCCCCCCTTGCAATTGAACAAATCAGAGAGGATCCTGAAGAAGTCAACTCATTACTTCAATGAAACACCATGACAAAGGAAGAATAAAATAGAAACTCAAGCATGAAGAGTTCAGCAGTCTGGAACCCATTAACAATAGACCTGGAAACACTGGACATAAACAGGTACACTGCCATCAAGAAACATGAATACTTTAGGCTATGTTTTAAGGTTTGAAAAATATTTTTAGAAATAGAAATAAGGCTTCTGTATAATCAGGAATGTCATCCTTGCAATCAGCTGTACTCTTTTTCTTAATTAAAGTAAGCAGGGAACTGTGGAACAAAAGACAAAATACATCTATTATATTTAAAAGACTCAAGAAACATTTAGTCACTTCTACCATATGACCACCTGATATAGACCAGTGAAGGAAATAACCGTGCAAAGCTTCAAATGAAGCATATCTAGCTATTATTTAGTGAAAAAATATGAATACAAATGGACCTAAAGCAGGCTGGTAAGAGCTGCTCGCTCTTATTCCAATGTGCAGTTTTAAAACCTTTATCTTTTTTACTTGTGTTATTTTGGATTGCAACAAGACACTTAGGACTGCAAAGACACACCTTCCTTCAAACTGAATTCCCCAAATGTTTCAGCTTCTTTCAGAT